GAGGGGGGAAGGTTGGGGGGAGGAAGGGAAGAAGGACAGGGAAGGGATAAATCAGGGTGCTGGCTCCATGGGCGCCATCAGTTCACCTTCCCCTGCTGCTCCCATGACCTCCCCAAATCTGACACTATTTCACCCCCCACCCGTGTGCCCCGCTGTCTCCCCTCCACTCGGGGCCGGTGGGAGGGATGTACAGACACTCACCTTGAGGTTCCCGTCGGCTGTGATGCGCAGCCGGTTGCAGGTCCCACAGAAATGCTCAGACATGGACGTGATGAAGCTGAGCTGGCCTCGGAAGCCAGGGACGCGAAAGGTCTGGGCGAGGAGGGAGAAGGGCAGTGGTGGGAACTGGGGCGGAGAAGGCTGCTCTCCCTGCCCACCTGAGCCCTCACTCCATGGCCCCTAGGGGAAGCCTTAGGAAGGGAGCGCCCAGGGCCCTCAGACCACAGAAGACTCAGCTACACGAGTGGGGACGAGCTCAGCCCGTGCCTGGCCCACCGAGCAGACCAGCTAAGCATACGGGGACCGGAGCACCGCGGCCAGAGCAGGCCCGTAGGGGAGCAGACCGAGCACCCCTCCCCCACTTACTGGCGTGTGTCCTGTCAAGTCCCTTTACCCCTGTCCCACGCCCGGCGCTTCTGTACCCTCTTGATCCGGGAGAAGGGAGGCTGCTGTGCTGGCACTGAAGGGCGTCCTGCTAACTGGCACCGCCCTACATCGCTGCTCTCTGACCTCCCGTGGCCCCTGCCAGCTCTCCTGAACTTCCCCGCCCAGCCCCAGGCTGCCCCCCACCTTGGCCGTGCTGGATTCCTCCTCGGGCAGCTTCTCCAGCTCCGGCCACTGCTGCCGGAGGGTCTCCAGCATCTCCTTGTAGCTGACCATTTTCTTGACGTTCCACTTGTTACCTGTACGGGGGTTGGAGGCTCCCGAGTCCAGCACAGCAGGAGCCCACCCTCCCCCACAGCCCGGAGTCAGGAGGCCCTGCCTATGCCTCTGACGCCCATGCAGCCCTAGCCTAGCTCGGCTGGGCCCCTCCCCACCATCTCTGGAGAAGTTTCTACACACACAGCAGGGTCGGAGGTCAGCAGCACCCACAGCGTGAGCCAGACCTTGCTGCCCCACACACCCTTCACGGGGGCTCCATGCTCTGCCCGCAGGCCCGGCCTCCTCTTCCCTCCGCACCCCCATCACTGACCGTCAAAGGGCATATACTCTATGAAGCGCACGTCCAAGGGGAGGCCCTCGGTCAAGGCCACAAAGTCCAGGAGCTCGTCCTCGTTCAGGCCGCGCATCACCACGCAGTTCACCTGCCCGGGATGAAGGGACCATGAGCGCTGTCCCTCGGGGCTGTTTTGCAGGAGTGACCTTTGGGGATCTGGGACCTGCCTGGGTTCTCCAGTGGAGGTCCCGGTCCTTGCCCTTCACCCCACAGCTCTCCTTGGGTTTGGGGAATCCATGGGGGTCACAGTTCTGCCCTCCCTTGTGTTGAGAGGGGCAGGGCTGGATGCAGTGGGTAGGCAAGTGGTGGCCAGGAGCTGACAGGGAAAGACCAAGCCAGGGTGGAGGGACAGAGCAGTGGCCCGCCCTCACCTTCACGGGGCTGTAGCCCAGCTCGATGGCCTTGTGGATGCCCTCCATGACCTTGTGGAAGCCTGTGGGAGGAAGAGAAACGGTCAGGAACTCCTCCCTCTCCCTGGCCTCCCCCTCACAGCCCTGGGAAGTAAGGCATCTCTGGGACCACTGAGGCCTGGCCAACAAGCATTTTCTGTAAAGGGCCAGATCGTAAATATTCTAGGTTTTGCAGGCCAAGAGGCAAAATTGAGGCTATTATGTACGTGTATGCCATAAAGATTTCATTGACGCAATTCAGAATATGATAATAATTGAGAATAGTTTTTGGTAATACAGGTCCACGTATGGGATGGAAGAAATTGTTTTTACAAGGATAATAGTTTGCTTGGTTGGGGTTCCTAGTCAATGCTGCCTATCATTAAACTGATTGCAAATGTTCCCTGTAAGCCCATTCTTGGTTCCCAGGCCGTTAAAAGCAGGCAGGGGCTGGGCCTGACCCCTGGGCTGTAGTGTGCAACGCAGACCTGAGGGGCCTTCTCGGTCCTGAGAGGGAACCGAGGCCCAGAGAAGCAGGGCCCTGCCGGCTGCTGCACACCACATCTCAGAACACAGGCTCCTGGCCCCGTATCCAGGCTTTCTCCCCAACAGCCTGTCCGTTCATATAATCTACATGCTCTCACTAGCACCTGCTGGGCGCAGCTGTGTCAGGGCTGGTGAGCGATTCCCATGCATGTGGTTCTCACCTGTCTCTGTGCTTACCCAGGCTGGCCTGTCTTCCCCTCACTCCCCTGAGCCCCCCTCAGCTCACTCCTGCACCCACTGCCTGCCGGTCTCACCCGCCCACAGCCCGCAGAGTTTGCAGATCACATGGGATTCCCAGCCAGGATGTCAGCTGAGGGCGGGTGGCCTCGGAATGGCCTTCATGCTGTCCCTGCAGCCTTTCTGGACGGGCCCGGTGAGGGAGGGCAAGGGGAGGAATGTGCAGCAGCTTTCCTTCCCTCGCTGGCACTTCAATGGACACCACAAACCTAGTGGCCTCACACCTCTTCAGTAGCCTGTCCTGCAGGGCAATGTCCTGTGTGTCTGTCCCCTCCCAGGGCATGGAGCGGGCTTCACGGAGGGCGAGGCCCCGCGAGCACTTCAGCCCACCGAGGGCTGTAAGCAGGGAGGCACAGGGAGAGGCCAGAACCTCTGTCCCAATGTGCAGCCCACGGCCCGAGACCACAGGGACTGTGGCAGGTCTCCCTCTCGCCCTGCCCTCCCCGATGAAGCCCAGTGGGAGGAGGCTGTGGGAGTCCCTGCTGCAGGGGTGACGGGAGAGGCTTACATCCAGGATGGGCACAGGGAGCACCCTTGGGGGCTGCTGAGGGACCCCCGCCTGGTAGTGCTGGCCCTGACCCTGGCACCTCAGGGCTGCTGCTTCCACCCTGGGTGGCCCCACATTTCTGCAGAACTCATCACAGGGCAACCAATTCAGCCCAGTCATGAGCAAACGGGGGACAGAGCACAGGGAGGTTGGTCACCATAGCTCTTAGCATCTGACCCCCAAAGGCCTTCAGGGCTGTAGCTACAAAGACGAGGGGCATTTAGAGAGGGTGAGGGGTGAAGCCAGGATTATCCTTAGCCAAGACACCAAGGGTGAGAGAGAGCCCAGGTCACTGGCCCCAGCCCCAGCTCCAGGGCCTCGGAGGGCACCTCCATTGGGAGCTGCATGGTCACCTTTCCTGCGGACGATGAACTCAAACTTGGCTGGCACCAGCGTGTCCAGACTGATGTTGATGGCACTGAGACCCGCTTTCTGGAGCTGAGGCAGCAGCCGGGCGAGGTTAATGCCGTTGGTGGTGACGCCGATGGTCCTCAGCCCCTCCAGCCGATGGAGCTGGGCTGTAGGAAGAGAGGAGGAAGCATCAGCCTACTTGTTCTTGGTGAGGCCAGGAGAGGGCGAGTCCAAGTAACATGGATGGACCTCAACTAACCAGGCTCAGCTTAATCAGAAACAAGAATAAAAACAATGATAAAACGAACCAAAAGGTTAAACACTGAGTGGTTCACTCTGCAAGAGGCTCTGCTGACGGCTTGGGTGCCTGAGCTCATTGAAGTGTCACGACAATAACGATCCCATTTCAAAGGTAAGAGAAGAAAGGCTCAGAGGAGTAAGAAAGTGACAAAGCACACAGCTAGTAAGAGGAAGAGCTGAGAGCCAAATCCATGTGTATTTGACTCCAGAACTATGCTCTTAATAACTGACTCACAGGTCCTGATACTCTAGTCTGTTGACTCCTCCATTCCACCAAAAATCTCCAGAAACAACAGAAGGATTTAAAACAACAACACACACCCATAATAGCACTGAGAGGCAAGAAAGAATGTGTTCAATGGCCCATAATGGTGGAGAAATACTGAAAGACAGAAAGCAGAGGGGGACCAGATGGCTCGAGGAGACCACAGCCCAAGCACACATAGGAGAAGGTTCTATACGAAGTGGGAGCGTGACTGGCATGCACCACACTTAGCAGTCACACAGACAAGGAGAAGAAGGGTCCTTGGTTATGGCAGGGAGGTTGCCTTTCTGGGGAATTCTATTTGGACGAGTTGGACAAGTTGGGCAAATTGGCCTCCCTCTCACCTCTAGGATCAGGGAGAAGGCAGCAGCTTTTACCCAAGGCTAGAGCATTTAAGGCAGCCTAAGGGGGTGGGGGAAGCCCAGAGTAGCTGCTGATGGTCAGGAGACACGGGAACCCTGAGGCCCAGAAGACTAGCAGGTCCTCATGCCCCTGTCCGCAACCTCAGGGGCAACCAGCATAAACAGAAACAACCCTGGCAGCCAGGCCAGCAGAGGCCTTGGGAACTGAGATGAGTACAGTCGAGAATAAGCAAACATTTTGAACTAACAAGCAAAATAGGGACAGACTCATAGAATGCAGGCTGACAGCAGTCGGTGGTGGGACAATGGTGGGAGGGATGGAAAGACAGAGCAAAAAAATGGGGGGAAAAGAGAAAAAACTCATGGACAAGAACAACAGTGTGGTGACTGCTACAGGGAAGCAGGTAGGGGGAGGTGGATGAGGGTATAGAGGTGATAAATGGTGATGGACAGAGACTTGACTTGGGGTGGTGAACACACAATACAGTGTACAGAGGATGCGTTACAGAATCATGCACCTGAAACCTGCACAACTGTGTTAACTAGTGTCACCCCAATAAAGTCAATAAGAAGGAAAAAAGTAAAGACAATACTGAGAAAGAAACACAAATTTCACAAATAGAGAAATAAAAGGAGACATGAACGAGATAACAGATGATGATTCTTTTAAAATTCAGAGTTAGATGAACATAGATGCAAAAATTCTCAAAAATATTAGCAAAACAAATTCAACAATACATTGAAAGGGTCATACTGTATACCATAATAAAGTGGGATTTATTCCAGGATGCAAGGATAGTTTAACACCCACAAATCAATCAATGTGATATACCAGCATTAGCAAAATGAAGGATGAAATACATACAGTCATCTCGATAGGTGCAGAAAAAGCATTTGACAAAATTCATCATACATTCATGATAAAACTCTCAACAAAGGGGTATAAAAGGAACATTGCTCAACATAATAAAGGCCATATATGATAAGCCCACAGCTAACATCATACTCAATGGTGAAAAGCTCAAAGTTTTTCCTGTGAGACTGGGAACAGACAAGGATGCCCACCCCTGCCACTTTTATTCAACATTAGAATTCCTAGCCAGAGCAATTAGGCAAGGAAAAAACAAACAAACAAACAAAAGGCACTTAAATCAGAAAGGAAAAAGAAAACTGTCACTATTTGCAGATGACATAATATAAAATATAGAAAGCCCTAAAGACTCCACCTAAAAACTGTTAGAACTAATAGACAAATCAGTGAAGCTGCAGGGTACAAAGTCAGTATACAAAAATATGTTGCATATACACTAATAATAAACTATCAGAAAGATAAATTAAGAAAACAACCCCAATTACAATTGCATCAAAAAGAATAAAAATACCTAGGAAACAATTTAACCAAGCAAGTGAAAGACTTTTACACTGACTACTATGAGCCACGGATAAAAGAAATCGAAGAAGACACAAATAAGAGGAAAGCTATCCTGTGCTCATGGACTGAAAGAATTAGTATTTTGAAAATTTCCATGCTACTTAAATGCCGGAAGCCAATTCCAGCATGACAGCAGGGCTGAACCTGCAACTTAAGTTACACACAGTCCCTTCGCCAGATTGCTGAACCCTTCTAGATGCTGGAACAAGAACTTCGACACTTAAAGCAATTCAATGTGATCCCTATCAAAATTCCAACGTTATTTTTCACAGAAATAGAACAAACAATTCTAAAGTTGGTATAGACCCACAAAAGATGCCACATACCCAAAGCAATCTTGAGAAAGAAGAACAAAGCTGGAGACATCACGCTTACTGATTTCAAATTATATTACAAAGCTGTAGCAATCAAAACAGTATAGTACTGACATAAAAACAAACACATAGATCAATGGAACAGAATCAACAGCCCAGAAATAAACCCACACATATATGTTTAATTAATTTAAAGCAAAGGAGCCAAGACTATACAATGGGAAAAGGATAGTCTCTCCAATAAATGGTATAGGGAAAACGGCACAGCCACATACAAATGAATAAAACTGGACCACTATATGACAGCATGCAAAAAGATTAACTCAAAATGGAATGAAGACTTAATAGGAAATGATAAAACTCCTAGAAGGAAAACATAGTCAGTAAACTTCTTGACATTAGTCTTGGTGATGAATTTTTGGATCTGACACCAAAAGCAAAGGCAACAAAAGAAAAAAGAAAAAAAGCAGGACTACATCAAATGCTGTTCATTACAGCATTATTTAAAATGCACCAAGACATGGAAGTCACCTATTTGTCCATCGGTGAATGAATGGATAAAGAAAATGTCACACTACACATAATGGGATATTATTCAGCCATAAAAATAAAATCTTGCCATTTTTTATATAGATGGATCTTGAAGGCATTATGCTAAGTGAAATAAATCAGACAGAGAAAGTGATATGATCTCACTTATATATAGAATCTTAAAAAAACAACACCCAAACTCAGATACAGAAAATAGGTTGGTGATTGCCAGAGGTGGGTGGTATAGTGGGTGAGTGAAATGAATAAAGGCAGTACAAAGGTATAAACGTCCAGTTATAACACAAAATCCAGAGGCTGTTATGTACAGCATGGTGAGAATAGTTAGTAATAATATATTGTATATTTGAAAATTGCTAAGACAGTAGATCTTAAAAGTTCTCATCACAAGAAAAGAAAATATAACTATGTGTGGTGATGTATATTAACCTCACTTATTGTGGTGACCACTTTGCAATATGTAAAAATATCAATTCATTATAATGTACACCTGCAACTAATACAATGTTATATGTCAACTATATTTTAATACAAAAAAATCAAAATTAATATCCTCCAGGAGTTAAATACTACATTCTGAAATGAGAAAAATAACTTATTAGAACTCTTAAAAATAAAGTATATATAGTTATAGAAAGATATATTCATTATGGAAAGTTAGAATATATATATTCTAACTTTCCATAATGAATATATCTTATATATATATAGTTGTAAAATATATAGTATAGAAAGAAAAAAACTTAATGAGAAAGCAGAATGGACACATATGAAGAGCAAATGAGCAAACTGGAGTACAACACAATTCTCCCAGAATGTACACAAAAGAACAAGAATAAAAAAAACCCCAACCTACTGACATTTAAATCCAATAAAATCTAGAGAAAGGATACTGTGTCAAAATGTCCACCATGGTTATCTTTGATCAGTAGTATTATTATAGGTGATTTTTACATTTACTTGTCTGTAGATAAAATTTATTTCAAACCACTAGAATGCATGAATCTTGGTGAAGAATCAGCTTATCTCTGCATGAGAGCAGAAGCCAGGAGTGAAGTGCCCAGATGAAAACTGGGGAAAAGATTGCACAAAAGGCAGCAGAAGATGACACATTTAAGCATCAGTTTGGGGAGGGCTGTGCAGAAGTGCACATGTTCCGGGTATAAGGCTAATATTATACCACCTTTCTGGAGAGACATGTATGGTAAAGCATTGGACCTGAAGTTCTAAGTCTAAGAATTTACCTAAGGAAATAATTATAGATGTGAACAATATTTAGTACGAAGATGTTTAGTAGACAACAGTGCATAGTAAAAGACAGCTGGAAATCATTCTGATACCCAACAATAGAAAACTGGCTAAATTATGCTTTGTTTAGATGATGGAATATTATGCAAACAAAAATGACTCTTCAGAATAATATGTTCGGCTGTTGGGAGATACACATGCTATATTAAGTTCAGAGAGCAGGTTAAAAACAGCAGTTAATCGGATTTCCCTTATATATGGATTCTAAAGAACAAAATACATGCTCAACAAAACAGAAAAAGACTCAGATACAGAGAACAGACGGTAGTTGCCAGACTGGAAGAGGGTTGGGTGGCTAGGTGAAAAAGGTGAAGAGATTAAGAAGTACAATCGGTAGTTACAAAATACTAGTCATGAGGATGTAAAGTACAGCATATGGAATACATTCAGTCAATAATATTATAATAACTATGTATGGTGTCGGGGGATCATAAGTTATGTAATTGTCTAACCACTATGCTGTAGCCTGAAACTAACATAAAATAATATTGAATATCAGCTGTTATGGAGGGGGGAGGGGTTACATATAAAACAACAACATCCAGTAGTTTAAAACTAAATAAAACACCAAAATGTTGACAGTGGTTACAACTGAGTAGTAGTTATATATTGTTTTTGCTTACCTAAAATAAATATGTATTACTGTTGTAATAGGAAAGTAAATCAGGAAAAATTCTTCAAGTGGAGTGAAGAACAAAATAATAGTGAGCTATCGCCCTGGCTGGTGTGGCTTAGTTGGTTGAGCGCCATCCCCCTGGTTGTGGATCGGGGTGGGTGCAGGAGGAAACCTATCAATGTTTCTTTCTCACATTGTTGTTTCTCTTTCTCTTCCTCTCACTTTCATATATTCTGGAGAAACACAGAATCTGGGATATTAACTAAAGAAAATCTAGAAAACTCATAGGAAGACGGACTGGTTTTCTGAACTAGTATGTGGGGATGTGGGGGAGGGGAGCTGTAGCCTGGGTTGAAGGTGCCGGCAGAGAATGTCAGCAATAATGGTAAGCAAGGCAGTTCAACTCCCTTCTTGCCCTCACCCACTGATGCCTCAGAACAACCACTGCTTGTCCCCTTACTGAAGAAATCAGTGGCATGCGCCCCAGAACTAGCTCAGCAGCCACTGGTGGTAAATCCGGGAGAGCTGCCCAAGTCCCACTAGAGGAGGAGCTGAAGACACAGGTGGGGACCTACCAACCTCCTGCATTCATTCCTCCGCCTGCCAAAGTCCCAGGGCTCCTTCCAAACCTGCTTCTCCCTGAGGTTTGAAGGTGAAGACCCACAGGACTGCCATGTTCCCTAAGTCCAGGTGCCACTCTCATAAGCCAAATGAGCAGTATGACCTGGAGCTGCGCAGCACACAGCCGTGCTGGTCATTCAGGGGGAGACAAACACGAGTGAACAACGGAGACAGTCTGGGATCTTGAGCTGCCTACCAAAAACTAAACTCTGGCCTTACCCCTTTTTCCATGAAGCAGTGTCATGTGTGTGATGTGCCACTGAGTCAATCTGACTCCTGATGACGCCATGAATGACTGACACCCATATCCTGCCCTCAACAGCCCTGCTCCGTTCCTGCAGATGCAGGCCCATGGCTGCTGTTATGAAGTCAGCCCATCTCAGGTTTGGTCTTCCTCCTTTCCTGCTGCCTCCTATTTTCCCCAGCATCACTGTCTTTTCCAAAGAACAGACATAGTAGAAGAGTGTCCACTTTGTCATTTTTTGCCTCCAGTGATGTTTCAGGTTTAATGTGCTCTTGGACCCACTTGTTCCTCTTCCTGGGGGTCTGCGGTACCTGTGAAGCTCTCCAGCTCCATCTTTCAAATGAATCAGTATTTTCCCCTATCAGCCTTCTTCACTGTCCAACTTTTGCATCCATACTTAGCAACTGGGAATATGAGGGTGTGGATGATCTTAGCCTTGTTCTCTGTGACACATCGTTGCCCTTGAAGATCTTTCCTAATTCTTTCACGGCCCTAGTGAGTCTCAGCCTTCTCTTGATTTCTTGGCTGCAGTCTCCATTTGACTCGATGCTGAACCATGGTAAGTGAAACCTTAAACAATTTCAATGTCTCCTTTGTCTATGCTAAAGTTGTGTACTTCTATGGTCATGATTTTTGTCTTCTTGGTGTTCAAATAAAGTCCTGATTTGGCACTTTCTTCTTCCACTTTCATCAGAAGTTGTTTCAAATCATTGGTACGTGCTGCAAGTAAGAGGGTGTCATCTGCATATCTTAGCTTATTGATATTTCTTCCAACAATTTTCACTCCTTCTTCCTCTGAGTTTAGTCTAGCCTAGTTTTTTGTATGTACAGTATGTGTACAGATGAAGCAAAGAGAGAGATAAAATGCACCGTCGTCTGGCACCTTTGCCGACAGCAAACCATTCTGTCTCTCTGCATTCTATCCTGACAGTAGCTTCCTGTCTACAACACAGGTTATGCTTCAGGAAAATCAAATGCTGGGACGCGCCCAGTTCTTCCAGAGCAACCCAGAGCTTTTCAAGATCCACATAATTGAAGGCTTTACTGTAGTTTGTAAAACCTGAAATTCCCTGGAGCTCTCCCATATCCAACCAATGTTCACACTGAGATCTCAAGTGCCTCTTCCTTTTCAGAATCCAGTTTGAACATCTGGCATTTCTTGCTCCGTGTGAGGTAGAGGCCTTCGTCGCATCACCTTGAGCATCACTTTTCTTGCTTAGGACATTACAGCAGTGGTCCTATGGTTACTGCACTCCTTGGCATCTCCTTTCTTGAAAATTGCGATGTATATTGAGTGTTTCTAGTGTCATACAGAATAGCTAATATTCTAGGGGAGCAAACTTACAAGCTAAACTAAGGAATCCCTTGAGAACTATAACAAGTACCTCCAAAAAAAAATCTAAAATATATACCAATAGAAGAAATGAGATTAAAACAGATAAATCAAGCAAATAAAATAGACATAATAAATACAGTTTAAAAAAGGATATTTATAATATAAAACAAAACTTTTCATTGTAAAAAACAAGGGGGAAATATTAAGTAAGAACATAATTGTAAAATAAGGAACCTAAGAAATAAGATGGACAGTGGTACAGACATGGGAAATACTGGCAAGTTAGGAAGTAAGATTAAAGAGCTCTCCCAGAAAACATGAGGAAGAGATTAAAAAATCAAAATATAAGTTAAGAGCTGTGGAGGCTATAAACAGAAGGGGCAACATCCAGACAACAGAGGTTCCAGGAAAAATGATCAAACTGGAGAGAAGGAAATAATGGAGAAAATGTCCCCCATATTTAAAACGGATGGCTTAGTGCTGAAAGAACACTTTCATGGAATGCAAACAGAACAGACAAGGAACAGCCTATTTTAGACATAGAGTAAAATTTAATAAAACCAGGTCAAAGAAAACATTATACTAACTTCTAGGGGAAGAGAACATATCACCTGCCAACAGCAAGGAGCAGACTGACACCAGACTTTTCCCAATAGCATACTGGTGTAAGGAGACAATGCAGGGACATTCTTAACATAATAAAGGGGTGAACCCTGAGCCCAAAATTGTATATGCACCCAAATAACATTTTAAACTACTACTCGGCTACTTTAAAACATTATAAAAACTGCCTGACTGGCCAGATCTAATCAGATTTACTATCAAAATTAGATTCACCATTAGACCCACATCGAAAAACTGTTAGAGGAAATAAATAAGATAAAAAATAAATTCAGAAGATGCTACAACAATTATGGATGATCAAATACCTTGGTACAGTTTGTTGTTATCTTAAATGACAGATAGTGGACTTAGGAGAGACACACGGGAAGACTATTCATAATAACCCATGAGAAAGTTCTAGAAAATATCAACAATCATTGGAGGTGAGGGGTTGGCAAAATCAAGGGCAAACAACTGGGTTAAAGTTCTTGTCTTGATAGGAAGAAGGAGGAATCATTTATTTTAAAAACCAAAAAGGAAGAGAAAAACACATATTAAATATATGACAGATAAAAGACTGTAGAAAAAAAGTCCAAATATTTCATTAATTACAATAAAGGTAACTAAAATAACTGGTGAGTTACCCGTTAAGAGTCAGAGATTATCAAATTTGATTTAACAAAAACAAAAGTAACAGCTATGTGCTATTATAAGAGATATACTTAATGGATAAGAACACACAAAAAGGCCGAAACCGGTTTAGCTCGGTGGATAGAGCGTCGGCCTGCGGACTGAAAGGTCCCAGGTTCGATTCCGGTCAAGGGCATGTACCTGGGTTGCGGGCACATCCCCAGTGGAAGATGTGCAGGAGGCAGCTGATCGATGTTTCTCTCTCATCGATGTTTCTAACTCTCTATCTCTCTCCCTTCCTCTCTGTAAAAAATAAATAAAAAATATTTTTAAAAAAAAAGAACACACAAAAAGTTTATATTCAAGTCTTACTATAGTTAAAAGCAAGCTGATATAGCTTTGGTAAAATAAAATACATAGATCTTAAGGCCCAAAGTATCATTATGGAGAGAAACCCACTATATAGTGATAAAAGATTCAATTTATGAAGAAGACAACAATTCCAATCACATATGAATCTAATAAAATCACCTCAACAATGTATAAAATGAAAAGCAATAGGGCCTCTGAGGGAAATGAACAAATCTACACACTTACTTATTACCGGCAGACAAAGCCAGCAAAGATAACCAGAGGTTTGAACAATAAAATTACCCAGCTGTAGCCAATGGACAAATATAAATGTCTCCATCCAATAATTAAAGATTAACCATTCCCCTCAAGCACAAGTAGAACATTTACAAAAACTGCCAATACACTAGATCATAAAGTCTCAATAAATTCTAAATGATTATCATGTAGCTATATTCTCTGACTACCATATACTTAAATTATAATTTAATAATGAAAATGTAAATGAAAAATCCTCATATATTTGGAAGTTAAAAGCACTACTTCCACATATTTTGTGAATGAAAGAACAAATCAGAATAAAATTAATATTTAGATCTAAATGTTATAAAAGTGATAGGCTATGCCAGGATAGAAACAGAAATAATAAAATAGAACACAAATATACCATAAGAGGTTCAACAAATCCAAAACTAGCACAACAAACAAACCTCTAGTAAGATTTAAGAAAAAAGAAGAGGTAAAACACAAATAAACTACATTAAGAAAAAAAGTTACAAAATTGCTAGTAAAACTGAGACTAAAAAGACAAGAAAATATTACCAATAATTTCATATCAATAAATTTGAAATAAGAAATAACAAATGTTTAAAATAAAAATTTAACCCAACTGGTGTGGCTCAGTGGTTGAGTGTCAGTCTATGAACCAAGAGGTCATGGTTCGATTCCTGGCCAGGGCAC